ACAGGTCGTAGGCAGGGCTGGAGAGGCAGGCACCGGCTCTGAGAACCTCCTCCTCCAGATGAGGGGACCTGCGGGGGCTCCCTGGCTTATCTCCTGCACGCGGCAGCCCAATTTCATTAAGACAGATGTGCCATGCTCCTGTGGGCAGGAGTCATGGCCAGTACAGATGGCAGGAGCCTGAGACTCTCCCGGGTGCTGCCCGAGCAAGCGGCCTCAGCTGGCAGCCCGCTGGGACAGGGCCCAGGGAGGCCTGCACTGTGCCTGAGGGTGTGGGGGTTTGTCCCGTCCCTGTAACTTCAAGCCCTGCCACCCGCCAGCCAGGCATCCCACGTCTATGCTTCTGCCCAACTTCCCACCTCACTCTCACCACATCCCATACAAACACACATCACACCACACGCACACTCCATCACCCACACCCCACGCATTACACAAGCACAGACACACACATGTATCACACACACGCATCACACACATCACACAAGTGCATATGCACACCCCCCCCACATAGGCCAAACTCCTGACCTCACACACACACTCTATGACACACACCCCACGCATCACACGAGCACAGACACAAACACGCTATATCACACACACACACCACACACATCACAAACACAAGGCCGAACTCCTGACCTCACACACACACCATCACACACATCCCAATCACATCTCATAGCCCAATAACGTAAGAGTGGAAACCAGTCCTGAATTTCAAATGCCAGGAGATCAGTAGGGAAACCGAATCTGATTTTCTTATTTTTATTTGTTTTTTGAGACAGGGTCTCACTCTGTTGCCCAGGCTGGAGTGCAGTGGCGCAATCACAGCTCACTGCAGCCTCGACCTCCCAGGCTCAAGCGATCCTCCCACCTCAGCCTCCCAGGTAGCCGGGACTACAGGCATGCACCACCACACCCGGCTAATTAAAAAAAAAAATTTTCTTTTTGTAGAGATAGGGTGCCACCGTGTTGCTCAAGTTGGTGTCAAACTCCTGGGCTCAAGCAATCTTCCTGCCTCAGCTTCTCAAAGTGCCGGGATTACAGGAGTGAGCCACTGCATGCAGCCTCAGAGTCTGATTTTCTTTTTGATTTTTTTTTTTTTTTGAGACGGAGTCTTACTCTGTTGCCCAGGCTGGAGGGCAGTAGCACAATCATGGCTTATTGCAGCCTTGACCTCCCAGGTTCAAGCAATCCTCCTGCCTCAGCCTCCTGGGTTTAAGTGATTCTCCTACCTCATCCTCCCAAGTAGCTGGAATTACAGGTGCATGCCACCATGCCTGGCTAATTTTGCAAATTTTTAGTAGAGATGGGATTCTGCCATGTTGGTCAGGCTAGTCTCGAAACTCCTGACCTCAAGCCTGCCTCAGCCTCCCAAAGTTCCGGGATTACAGGCGTTGAACCCCCACTCCTTTTTTTTTTTTTTTTTTTTTTTTTTTTTTTTTTTTTTTTTTTTTTTTTTTTTTTTTTTTTTTTTTTTTTTTTTTTTTTTTTTTTTTTTTTTGGAGATAGGGTCTCACTCTGTCACCCAGGCTGAAGTGCAGTGGCACAACCGTGGCTCACTGCAGCCTCAACCTCCCAGGTTCAAGCAATCCTCCTGCCTCAACCTCCTGAGTAGCTGGGACTATAGGCACACATCACCATGCCTAATTTTTTAAAAAAATTTTTTTGTAGAGACAGGGTCTCACTGTGTCGGTCAGGCTGGTCTCAAACTCCTGAGCTCAAGTGATCCTCTTGTCTCGGCCTCCCACGGTGCTGGGATTACAGGAAGTGAGCTACTGCCCCACCCCCACCCCCCGCCCCCGCCCAGGGTTGTTTCTTAAAGGCCTGAGGGAGGTCACAGGCAGATGCCTCTTCAGGGAGGGGAAGGAGTGAGGGGGGCAGGCAGGGGGACAACTGGCAACTGCCCTCTCCAAGGATCCCCAGGACCCTGCTGAGTGGCAGGAGAGATGCCCACAGCCTGGCTGGAGACCCCTTCAAGCCCACAGCTTTTCAGGATGGAAGAGGGTGGGGGGTTGGGAGCTCCCCCCGCCCCTCTTTCCCTCACAGCCCTCTCCTAGCTCCCACTGCACCCTTCCCCTCCACATCCCTGCAGCTGGACCCAAGCCCAGGCAGCGACAGCCCCTCCCATATGGCAGCAGGAACAAAGAGAACCGCCCCCCACAACAAAATCCAGAAGCTCCGGCGGGCGGCCAGACCTCAAGCTCCCAGCCCAGTATGACCCGCAGCGTTCTCCATGGGCCACTGACGCCCGCGGGGCCAGCACTGCTCCTGGCTTCAAAAATATAAATTTAAAAATCCCCACCCCAAGATAATTGCTCTCTCCTCTTGCTTATTGTGGTGGCTCCGCGGTAGGCACTGAGAAGCAATTATTCACGGCTAATGATTATAATCAAGTCAAATAGAATTTAATGGACACGTATTCTCTTCCTGCTTGAAACTTTACATATGAATTAAGCACATATGGGTTTCACGAGGCACAGACGCAGATTTATGCAGCCCCGAAAAGCCCCGCCGCTGTGGACGACTTTTATTCCACTAATAAACAGGCTGATTTATGGGCTCCTGGGAACTGCGATCTCTGCTGCCCCCTGGTGGGCGAAGGGTCTGGGGTGGGAGCCAAGGCCACCCAGGACCCTGGAGGCCTGACCAGTGCCAAAGCCACTTTGAACGCTGGGGTTCCACAAAGCCCTGGACGGCCGAAGGAGACTCCGGCTCTGTGTGGGAAGCCTGTGTCCAGACCCTGCCTCCGCCATTCCCTGGGATTCCAGGTGGGTACTGGGTCCTCCTGGCTGTGAGATTCTAGAACAAAAAGATCCCAGGAAAACACACCAAGAGGAGTGTGGGTAAACTGAGGCAAGCAGGGGGAGGCGAAAGCTGATCATCTGCAGGAGGTCCCATGTCCCTCAGCACCCCCAGGACAGGGGTGATGCCCAGAATGGCGCTGATGACACCAGTTTCAGCACCAATGCGAGGTGCTGAGCCCCGATTCCCATCTGGTGATGAGTGACCGCCATTTGCATGTCACGTGCATCAGCTCCAAGTGCCCCCAGCAACCTGATGGGTGCTTTCTTTGCTACCCTCATTGTGCAGAGGAGGAAACAGAGGCCTAGGCAAGGACACGGAGAAGGGGAGTCCCCAGAGAAACTCAGCCAGCACTGCCCCAGCCCTGGCCCTGGTGCAAATGGAGCTGGCACTAAAGCACTTCCGATGGAGCTGCTGCATCCAAAGCCTGGCGACTCCCAAGAGCACTTAGCAAGCGGCGTTAATCACGCCCACAGCGCGGGTGCAGCCTCCAGAGTGTCCCCTGTTCCATCTGCACCCGCCAACACCCCACCTTGTTCCCTGAACCCTTTCTTCTGGCCCATGTTGCAGCCAATCACCAACCCGGGGGACAGAGCTCACAAGATACCTCATTTTCCCTCTGGCCACTTTGCAGCTCAGCAAGAAGATACCGCTGGGGTACCTCTCACACGCTTGCCAGTGACTGGCAGGGCTGGAGTACCCACTGTCCTGCCTGACTGCCCTCTCAGCCACAGCCCCAAGGCTCTGCCCTTCTGCTCCAGGCCAGCCCCTCCTGGGCACAGGCAGCAAGAACACCCTCCCCCAGGCCGCTGTAACATCTGCCAGTGCAGATGTGGCTTTGTCTTAGCCGTGTGGCCCCAGATGGACTAGCAGTCCTCTTCCTCGTGGCCCTAGAGAAACACACCAGAACCACCTGCAGAAGCCCAAGGTGACTCTAGCTCCCCCTGCTCCCCTCAGCCAGCCACTCTGAGCAGAAACTCCTGCCTACGTGTAACCTGTCACCTGTGTGTCTCGACAGGTAATGTGTGGGCAAGGCACCCCCATATGACTATCCAGCTTTGCAGTCAACGGTGGGAAGACGCACAGAGCAAGGTTGCTTCAGGAAACACAACTCAGACCCCATGGACCAGGCCCGGGGCAGCTGAGTGACCTTCGCTCTCCGGATCCTAGAACCCAAAACTCAGAGAGATCAACGGAAATGCTCACAGTATCGGCGCCACCAAGCCCCAGAGTCACTGGGGGACAGCGCTGGAGCCAAGCACGACCACTGCAAGCCCAAAGTGGAGACGAAGGAGAATCGAGAAGCTCCTGGGGGTGCCCTGGGCCTGCACAGGCTGGAGAGGGGCTGGCACGGCAGGGTTTTCCCATGAGCTGGAGCCCAAGATGACAGGATCTGCCCCCCAAATTCAGGGTCTGAAAAAGAGCCCCCCTTCCTCTGATGCTTGGTGCAGACGCCAGGTAAGCAAAGAAGCAAGTGAGCAGGCGGGCGAGGGCCGGGGTTCAGCCGCCACTCGACCTGTCCCACAAGCCACCTGCTGGACTTAACCGGCCCTTGACACCCTATGCCAAAGTCCTTTCCTGGCACCTTTGACCTTGCCAGACAACCACTGCCTGCGTGGAGAAGCAGCCCCCTTCCTCCCTCCCACAAAGAAGCAGCCGGCTCCCATACTCATCACAACAAACTGCCAAGCCAGCAAGAGGCGAGCGCAGGAAGCTGAGCAGCTCCCGTTTCCAGGCGCTGGAAAGCGGCCAGGGCACCGCAGGGGACCTCTCTGCCCCCACTATCCCTCGACAAGCTCCTTCACCTGCCCAGGTCTGAAGGGAGGGCAGGGCAGGCCAAAGGCAGAGGAAGGCAGGTGGTGGTTGGGGCCTCTGTGGCCCCCCAAGGTCAGACCTCTCCGCTGTGGTCTCTGCCTTCCTGGCAGGGAAGCCCAGTTCCAGCCCAGCTCTCCCACCTCCCCGGCCACTAATGGGTCTCAGTGGAGCAAGGCGCCCCCGACACAGCAGGTCAGGGTTTCAAGGGAAGAGGAGCCCGAGTGGCCGACGCGCTGGGCTGCCATGGCGCCAGCAGGCCGTCCTTGCCAGCAACCCGAGCCTCACTGGAGCCAGGTGGCGTCCACCCAGGCCTGGCACAGCAGAGTAGAGCAAAGGCAACGGGGCGGCCACCAGGGTTCTGGTTCAGGCCAGCCACTCACCGGCGTTGACGATGGCGTCCACCTCCAGCTTGGTGATGTCGCCGCGGAACAGGGAAATCTTCTCATTGAGCTGCTTGTCCTTTTTATACCTGGGCTCCTCCACCTTCACAGCCACCCCTGGAACAAGTAGGGGCCAGGGAGGTCACAGCAAGGCTGCCCACTGCAGAGGGACCCAGCCAGGGCCCAGGGGCCAGGGCCTTTCCTATCGACCTCCCTCCACCTCCAGAGGCAGCCTGCAGCATGATGACTGCTGACCCAGTACCAGGAACCCACGCTGAGGAGCACCTACTGTGTGCCAGCATCACGCGGGGACTCCTTGCATCTTGACAGCAAGGCCACCAGCAGGTACAGTGCTAATATTATCCATCCCATTTCACAGAGGTAGAAACTGAGGATTAGGTGGGTCAGGGACTTGCCCAGGTTTATGGGTCACCAGGCCTGCTGTCTCACCAACACACTCTACTGTAAGCAACCAAATCGCACTTCAAACCCCAGCTCCCTACAAGCAAGTAATCTCAGGCAGGTGGCTCACCTAACCTAGGGCTCTGTTTCCTACCATATAATGGGGATAAAAATTGCACTTGTGTTAATAATTGAATGAAGTGGCCAGGCACAGTGGCTCACGCCTATAATCCCAGCACTTTGGTAGGCCGTGGAGGGCAGATCACTTGAGGTCAGGAGTTCGAGACCAGCCTGGCCAACATGGTGAAACCCCATCTCTACTGAAAATACAAAAATTATCCGGGCATGGTGGTACATGTCTATAATCGCAGCTACTCAGGAGGCTGAGGCAGGAGAATCGCTTGAACCCAGGAAGCAGAGGTTGCAGAAGGCTGAGATCATGCCACTGCACTTGTCTCAGCGACAGAGTGAGACTCCGTCTCAAAAACTAAACTAAATAAAATAAATAAATAAATAATTGAATGAGGTGGCCGGGCTTGGTGGCTCACACCTTTAATCCCAGCACTTTGGGAGGCCGAGGCGGGCAGATCACTTGAGGTCAGGAGTTCAAGACCAGCCTGGACAACATGGTAAAACCCCATCTCTACTGAAAATACAAAATTAGCCGGATGTGGTGGTACATGCCTGTAATCCCAGCTACTTGGGAGGCGGAGGTGGGAGAATACTTGAACCCAGGAGGCGGAGGTTGCAGTGAGCCAAGATCGCACCATTGCACTCCAGCCTGGGCAAAAAGAGGGAAACTCCGTCTCAAAAAATAAAACAAAATAATTGAATGAGGTGATACACGCAGAGCGCCTGCCTGCAGCAAGCACTCGATACACGCTGCTGGACTTGCTCTTCCTGTCTGCACGATTCTCCCAAGCCACGGGTCTGGAGCCTGCCCACCAGGGCCTCCCCCAGAGCAGGGCCTACCTTTCGCCATCTCCTTCCACGTCGGGATCTTCTTCAGCCTGACAAAGTCCTTGCAGAAGTAATGTTCCTCCCGCTGCTTGTCACTCAGGCCCTTCAGAAAGGCTGCAGAGGCAGGAAGGAGCGTCAGGGTGGGGGCAGAGGAGCTGGCCAGGTGCTCACACCCCCACATCTCCCTTCTTGCCTTATCCAAGAATGCAAACCAGCCCTTCCTGTCCATTCTTCCCTGGGCACACAGGGCGGGCATGCTGGGGCAGCCTCAGAGGCCCCTAGAATATCTTGTCCTGCTGTCTTTGTTCAGGGAGGGAAACTGAGGTCTGGGGAGGCTGAGGGACTGGCTCAGGCATCGCAGACCTGAGTTCAGAATTCAGCTCTGCCACTTTCCAGCAGAGTCCACATCTCTTTGGGTCCCCCATTTCTCCCTGATTAGAACGGGGGTGAAGACGTCCCCTGAGGAACAGCTCCAAGCTTCCTCCCACACACTAAGGCCAAGCCGGTTGGCAGCACTCAGCCGGTGACATTATCCATCAGTCCCACCGCCAGTCAGTTCTGCCCTCACTGTCACTGCATGTAGGCAGCGGGACAGCTGTCCTCCTCCAGGAGCTGCAGGACCAAGCGGACCTGGCACCTGTCCCCAACATCCCCCCAGCATCGGCTGAGGGCTCCCAGCATGACCAATGGGGATGGAATCACCCCCATTTTACAGATGAGAAAACTGAGGCTCAGGAAGGGTGGGAGGCCACCCTCACACAGCAGGGACTTGAGAGAGGAGCCAGGTACCCCCCACCCGCTCACGGACTCTGGGTCTACCCTGGCTGGCTCCCCCTTGCCTGGGCACTGTCCCATGGGCTCCACCTTCCCTTGGGGGTGGCACCAGGCACAGAAACCTGGAATCCGTCTCAGAAAGGCCCGCCCCGACCGCGCCGGGCCAGGCTCGCAGC